GACGCGAGATTCCGCGCTCGAGTCTCGGCTTTCTCGAGTCAAAACACAGAAGCTGCCAGCCTCCCGAACGAGGCCCAGCTCTGCGGATAAATCAGCATTTCGTGAAGAGAGGATCGAGGATATAGAGAAATTTTTGATCGATCGGATTACGAGTGCGAGTGCGATATCGATATGATTAGCCACGCGAATTGACTCTTCGAAAGTGAGAGGAAGCGCTCGGAAGAGAAGCGAAAATGATGATGCCGCCACCCGAGGTCGTGGGTGTCTTGCTGAAGAAACCGGGACAACGGACTCACCCACGATTACCCTCCCTGGATCCACAGGAGACCAAAATTAGAGGTGAGATTTCACTGTTCCAGGAATTTTTTTTTTTAATATATCTTTATGAAATGTGTAAATATGTGTGCTAATATTGCATACATATTTATAAAAGAAACCTTAAAAACGTACAAGCAAATGAATAATTATGAATTAAATATAAGGCCAATAAACTTTAATAATAAATACGCGAATTTTTTATAATAAGATCTAAAAAAAATATATATATATATATATTAAAAAAGGAAAGCTTCAAACATATATTGAGCGTTAATTAAAAAAATTATCATCATTCACAACAGCGACGGCGAATCATTATACGACGCCGATAGCGTATCAAATAGGTTAATTACTGTAGTAATTGAGCGAAAAAATAGAGCTCTCCGCGAGCATCCGGTAATCAAATTTTCCCATTAATTTGGGACATTTCGTTTAGTTATTACGACAAATAGGCACGCACGTCCATTTCGCGAAACGAAACCATATATCTCCTCATCGCAGTCAACGCGGTGAAACTTTTCTCTGTCGACTAATTTCCAGTTTGATAAGTAAACGTAATTAATTTTAAAGATCTCCATCAGCAAAAGCCAAACCCATTAAAATAGAACAACGCAGTTATAGAAAAAAAATTAAATGAATAAAATTAAATTAATATTCTATATATTCTCATATATAAGCAAGAATATTATAATCTTCATAGAAAAGGCTTTTAACTTTGAGCAAAAGTAATATAACTTGTATGAATACGAATTCAACCAAATCAAGATTAAAATTATTTATTTATATAGAATATTTGTCTTTAAGGCTAATTTTTTTTCTCTGTTCATCGTCTCACTCGCGAGAACGCGAGCAAATCGATCGAGAGATCTCTTCGGGAATTCCCGAGGGAATTCTCGAGGGGGAGACGAGCAGGAGGACGAAGGATAAAAAGTTCATTTTCACCGTGGCCAAAAAATGTAAACTCGTCGCCTAATTCATTTTGCGGATCTCTCTCTTGCGGCGCGCCGGCGTTACGCCATTATCGATATTATGATTCATTCGATATTATGATTCGAGCGTGTTGTTACAACAAACGGGCAGCCTTATCGAAAGCCTGTAAACGAGCATTCAGCAGCCCGAGCGTTCCCTGAAATCCGGGCCGGGGCTCTCGCTCTCTAGTGCAACTCTACTACTCGATCTCGTCGATATCTCCTTCCTTGCTCCGGTGCGCTCGCATCGTTCTTTCGCTGAGTATAATGGTTTATCGACGATTTCACGTTTCTCGAGAACGCGAAATTGATTCGCGCCCGAGTGGAAAGCGCTTAAAAAAATGGTCGGCCGGCTTTATCATCGGCGCCGGTCGGGGCCGCATCACGTGAGAATCCTCGCGATGTAACTCGCAATTGAAGATTAAGTGGCTCGGTAGCGCCAGCTTGTTTACTCTATTATACCGATCAGCCTAGCCGACGCCTTACGGCTCCGTTAACAATTATGTTAATGGGACGGCGACGGTGATGCGATAACGGTGCACGTTGATTTGATACGAACTTGATGAGCAATTTGGTGAAAAGCGAACGTAAATACCCTTTGGCAACTTTCCCGTCGAATGCGCGAGTCGTCAGGTTCCGTCAGGTTCGATCGTAATTTATTTTTTCTCTGAAATTTTTAAGATTTCATTGCGATGTACGACGTTTTCCTGGAAAACAGATCGCATTCCTTGAATAACTTTTATCTTGCCTTTCTCATTAAGGTCTTAGAAAAATAACTCAAGTGACCCCTAGGAGACTTCTAGGAAAAAACCCTATTTTCCCGTGTTTCTAATGTTTCTAATGTGTAAATATCAGACAACGAAGTCCGCCGAGGCGGACTTGCCACAACATTTTAAAGACCTTTTTAGAAGCCCGTCTCGTTCGCACGCGATTGACAATTCGTGCTCCGTAATCCGGTATCTGGGCTACCGTGGTAACGGGATACTTTTACGTGGCCATCCATCCACTCCGCGAGGAACGTGAAAACGGACTCTCTAGCGAACGAAACGAAAAACGTATTTCTGGATATCAGCAAATGTGCATAGGTAACATATGTAACATAACTCAAATATACATTCAAATCTGAAGAAATGAAAAATGATAACCGTGAGATAGATACCAGATGTGATTGCGATGTTATTCATTGTTGAATAATTCTGACTTTAGATCGAGACTGTATCTTTGATATGGGCAAAATATGGTTCCCGTGCATGCGTGTTAACTTTGAGCATATTACGCAGTAATCAAAAGTGACGATGACGTTTCGCGCGGAAGTGCCGCAGAAATAGATCATTATTCGGTCTGCCTCACGCCATGCTCGAATGTTTATTAAACTATACGTCGAGTATGTAGGCGAGGTTTTGATAAGATTATCCAATAGCGCGATTCCGTCTAAGATAAACGTCACAGCTCAGCTAAACTGTCAAGTGTGAAAATAAACAATATATTTTTCTTCATCGTCCAGCGTGTGAACGCTGGCATGGCGGGCGAAATTACATTACGGTCGATTAACTTTTATTGTGAACGTGAAGCGAAATTCCTGACAGTTTACGGCGGGTCAAGAAACAGTAAAAAAAAAGCGGGCGGGCCTATCAGGTACGACGTCTCTCTCTCTCGTGCCGATTTTCACGGTCGTGTCGAACTCCCTAACCAACCTTCGGCTTTCCTCCCCGCGATTTCCTTCCTCCTCGTCCTTCCTATCGCCGCGGCACGAGCAACCCTTTCTCTTCTAACGGGAACCCTATTAAACTCGACGGATTTTCCGTTTCATTGCACATTCGATAAACGGTTACGACATCGGCGTACGCCAATCCCGCCATTGCGAAATCATCCGCGCCGTATAACGAGGCGTACCTGCTCGATCGCTTGGCTTTATATTATAATTTCGACTGCAACACGTTCGCTCGTTAATTATCTTCCAGCACGAAGTGGCCCAAGAAATATCGTACTTACGCGTTTTGCAGAACGGAACATTATGTAAGCCTTAATTGGCCTCGAGTTGAAATTATTTTAATAATTCTCGTGACTTGGAAATATTTCCCGAAGAGAGAGAGAGAGAGAGAGAGAGAGAGAGAGAAGAGAAGAGAAGAGAG